ATTTATATAGACTAGCCGTCCCCTGCCATGCATTGCTGTGGCCCAGTCTGTGTATATGTGTTTTGTGTGTGTTTGTGTGTGTGTATATATTTGTGTATATATGTGTGTTTGCACAATATATATATAGGTGTATATGTGTGTGTGTGTGTGGTGTGTTTATATGTGTACATGCATATTGTGTATATGTGTGTGCATGTGTATATGTATATATATGTGTGTGTATGTGTGTGTATATATATATGTGTGTGTGTGTGTATATATATATATGGTGTGTATATGTGTATATTTATGTGTGTTTGTGCACAAATATACGTATGTGTGTATGAATGTATGCATGTGTATATGAGTGTATTTGTATATATATATATATTGGGATTTTAAGTCTGTTCTGATGGGGTTGTGTGTGTGTGTGTGTGTGTGTGTGTTTAGGGGTGAGGGACACTCGTTCGACGGTTAGATGTATTGTGTCCAAATTTGGTGTCAATTCCCCCAGTGGTTCTTGAGTTCTGTTAATCCGACAAACGAACATGACATTTTTATTTATATAGATTATTATTATTATTATTATTATTATTATTATTATTATTACCCTGCTTTATCTCTCCCGAAGGGGATTCAAAGCAGCTTTCTGCCTCCAAATGCATAGCTACTTTCTTTACCTTTTTCAAGGGCCAATTATGCTTTGTCTTTGTTTTGAAAAACCTCAAACAAGTCTGCGTTAGAAAAAGTAACCTCCGGTAGAAACTAAGAGTCATTTTTGAATACACAGTCATTATTGTTTGCTGCACCTCTGCCTTCTCAAAGGCTGCAGGGCTCTTTTCACAGCTTTGGTGGATGCTTAGGGTTGCTCTTCCAAGACATTAATTGGCACCCGTCATCATTAGGGCATTCTTATAAAACATTCTATTTTACAACTCTCCTAATTGTCTAAAAGAGCAGCCTCTGATTCATAGTAAACAACAGCCCAGCGGTTAAGTGCGTTGTGTGTTTCAGACTGGGAAGAGAAAATTGCAACTCGTTTCCAAAGGTCTGTTTTGGTGCCTCAGAATTCACAAACAGGGAAAGAGAAGCAAGAGAATGACAACTAAAGCTTGGGATGAGCTGGATGCTACATGAGTTGGATGAAACACAAGCCTCTTCTACACTGCCATACAAAATCTAGATGACCTTCTGGCAAGGAAACTAGTCCAATGTGGGCTAGGCAAAACTACGGTGAGGTGGATCTGTAATTGGTTAAGTGGACGAACACAGAGAGTGCTCACTAATGCTTCCTCTTCATCTTGGAAAGAAGTGACAAGTGGAGTGCCGCAGGGTTCCGTCCTGGGCCCAGTCCTGTTCAACATCTTTATTAATGATTTAGATGAAGGGCTAGAAGGCAGGATCATCCAGTTTGCAGACAACACCAAATTAGGAGGGATAGCCAATAGTCCAGAGGACAGGAGCAGGATTCAAAACGATCTTGACAGATTAG